CTCCGCAGCAGGAATGCTTTCTGCGCATGGGCGATGTCACACGTTTGACGGTTGAGCTGATGGGTTCTGTCGTGGTGAAGGGATTGTGACATTTCTGATTGAGCCGCAGGAGTCTTGTACCTAAGTCGCTGGTTCAAGCGTTTAGCAAGACGGTCCGCGTGCGAGTCTCACGGCGCCGAATGGTTCCTCGCAAAGGGCGCTCATCGAGGCAGTAAAGAGTGGTGGCGCGTCAAGGTATGCTCTCGAAGCGCACGGCACGGGCACAGCGCTTGGAGACCCAATCGAGGTATCTTTCCTGGGGATGATGTCCATATGAGGATTCCATTTAGGTTGGTGCTGCCATTCGGGCGCTGTGTACCGACTCGTAGTTGATATAATGCGCTTCTTTGAAGTCAAACATGGGTCACTTGGAGGCCTCGGCAGCTGTCGCAGGTTTGGCCTCTCTTGTGCTCATACCTCTCAGCATTAATGTGATAACCGTGAATGCGCAACTCAGGAGGTCCTCCTTTAGCTCAGGGCCCGCCAATCTCTGAATGTTAGGCTGAACACACACCTGTTCGCGATCCTGCTGTCATCGTTTTAGGTGCCTGTCGAGGCGCTGGCTGAAGGTGAGGCGCACCGATCATTCGCTGGTCGGCTGAGCTCGTTTGGGTTCAGCGGGACCATCGCGCATGGGGCCTTTGCCGCTTTGTCATGTTCTGATCTGTTTATCTCGACGGTCGTATGAACGTCCAAGTATCGTGCTTAACAAGCAGGGGCCGTTTGCAAAACGCCGGTGGAAATCAACAAATCCGCATCAACAACGACCGGCAGGGGAGTGGGCGATTGGCCTCTGAACAACACGTGCGTGTATGCAGTCCTTTTGTTGTTCGCGGTTACAGCAGTTCACGCACCTCTTCGTGACACTTAGTTCAATAGCCAAGTCATATCATACACTCATCAAAGTGTGCTTGTTACTCGCTTTGACTCTATGGCACATACTTGGACAGTTTCGACGGAGTCACTACAGCCTCGAGTGCTCG